CCTTAGACCTGTTTCTCAATTAAATCATCATGGGGTGCCTTTGAAAATCTCATCCCTAGTTTTTAAATCATTTCTTCTTGGCAGACCTATTTTCATTTTACAGTCTGTACCTGATGGGACTGTTGGCATGGTCTGGATCTCTGGCAGATACAGCACCTACAACGGATCCATTTATAGCTCCTTCTGCGATTTCCATCACATAGTAGACCTGTTTCTCAATTAAATCATCATGGGGTGCCTTTGAAAATCTCATCCCTAGTTTTTAAATCATTTCTTCTTGGCAGACCTATTTTCATTTTACAGTCTGTACCTGATGGGACTGTTGGCATGGTCTGGATCTCTGGCAGATACAGCACCTACAACGGATCCATTTATAGCTCCTTCTGCGATTTCCATCACATAGTTCTGTGAAGTGAAAACTGGAGGCTCATCAGTATCTTGCACACTGATCTTGATAACGGCTGTGTCTTCAAATGGCCCTTCTTTCAAAAAACGGTCATCCATGTACCTGTTAATAGCTTTTGCTCTAACATTGTATCTCCTTTTGCTCTCATAATCCACTCTCTGTAGACAAACAAAGTGGGAAGTGGAATAGTCCTTTTTTAGCATTTGAAAATTAATAATAAATTGAAGCTTAATTTAAGATTAAATATAAGAAATAGTGGTATACTTCTATTGTCTTACTTTAGTTTACTTTTGCTATTAAGGATTGATTGCCTTCTCATGGCTTGCTCTGATGCTATGATAGAATAATATTGTAATGGATACCTCCTTGCTTTGTTTTGTCACTTATGTCTAATATAGATTGTGATCAATATCTTTATTTCACATGTAGAGTTAATACTATACAATGCAGAATATGAATTTTCATATAGACTTAAGGGGAATTAATTGCTCTTTAGAGGTTCAGACTGAGTTCATTAAATTTTAGTCTTCAGAAAAAAAAAAGAATCCGCCTCCCCTCATATGACAACTATCTCACTGACCACACTGTCATACCATTTCTTTAGTAGGGTTTAATAATACAAACTGAAGCAGGAAATATTAGTGAAACACCTTCCTCTATTTATAACTGTTCCACATGGACAAAATACAGCAACATAGACTGAGATTATCTGAGTAAATACCGTGTGTTCTCCTCTACCACCACAGATTATTTTTTAGCTTTTTATTACATCAGAACATAAGCAATCAAATGAATGAACCACCTTTGTCTTTTCCCTTCCCTGCAAGGTTTAAAATGATACCTTGCCACCAGTTCAGTTCTAATACCTAACTCTTTATCTCTCTAGGTAATGCTAAAATAAGCCCCAGAGACAGCTGAAGTTTCTCAAGTATGTTTCCCTAAAGTAATCATAATATTTTTCACTTATGCATGGAAGTTACTTCCATCTCAGGATCTTCACATTCTTAACTAACCATGTGCTATGGATCAGAACACTCCTTTCCTATCATTCTTGTCATTTTACAGGTGAGAAAACAAATCAGAGATAGGCTGCAACATTTTCCCAACTTTGATTTGTGGAGTAAGCAATAGGGGTCAGGATATCTCAGTTTTATTCCCAACTTTGAAACAATCTCCTTATGTAAGGGTATGTCTACACTAGCCCCCTAGTTCGATCTAGGGATGCTAAGCAGGGTGACCGAAATTGCAAATGAAGTGCGGGATATTTAAATATCCCGCACTTCATTTGCAATTTCGGTCACCCTGCTTAGCATCCCTAGATCGAACTAGGGGGCTAGTGTAGACATACCCTTACATAAGGAGATTGTTTCAAAGTTGGGAATAAAACTGAGATATCCTGACCCCTATTGCTTACTCCACAAATCAAAGTTAGTGAAGTTGCTTTTCCCCACACAATGCCAGATCCTGTTTTCAGAAGCAAGATAGAAAACAAACAAACAAAGATGGAAACAACAACATCCAGTGTTGTTATTTTTGTTTTATTAAGCATTAATGGTACGTCTCCTTTTACTGTTTTTTTTAAATGTCTCACCTCTTTTAATGTAACAATTCCTTCTTGGGTCTCATTGTTAGTAATGATGTCAAAAATAAGTGACTCATCTCCTTCGATGACATAATTCATTGCTGCATTCTCCCCTGTGTCGTCGTCCTCTGCCATGATTTTGCCTATGGTAGAGCCCTCTGGTGCTGACTCAGAGACATTCATATAGTAGAACTCTTAAAGAAACAGCCAAGTAACATCACATTAAATGCTGTTATCTTTGTCAAGGATCTATAACTATCTAAAGCAGTGGTGTCCAACCTGTGGCGTAGGGACTAGTAGTGGGCTTTGAAACACTCACCTCAGGCCATGGGGGGAGGGATGGCTACTTAAGAAAAAATTGTTTGTCTAAAAATAAATTGAAAATATGTTCCCCGAGCTGCATAATATGAGTTTCAAAGAGTATTTGAATCACCCTCACTACTGTGAGGAGGCATTAGAGGGCAGCACTTCCATAACTGCAACATAACTGCTCCCATGCTGCATGAGAAACAGCTCTAAGGTGGGCTAGCAGCTCTCAGAGAAGCTACTGCTATGCACAAGCTACAACTGTTCAGCAGTGACCCTGTTGGCAGCAGGCTACTTCTCAGGGGTAGGGAAAAGTTAGCAGGAATAAGGCCCTGGAACTGCACCTGCTCAGTATTCCAGAGACCCTAATAGGCCAGCTAAGTTGCCTGATGGACTGCCCTGCCCTAATTGGCTGAGGAAGCCAGTGGGCCATCTCTTAAGCTCAGCAGCAACAGTAGCTCACTTTTCACTCAATGCCCATGACCTCTCTGGTTCCCTGTGGTTGTATCTCACCAAGTCCTGCTCTGATATTCTACAGCTCCTGCCCAGATACTGCCCTGCACCCAGCCTTGTTCCCATCTGTCTCAGAAGCAAAGTCTACTCCGGTTTTCCATGTCTTCTTGTAATATGGTTACAACCATTGGCTTTGATTCTGGACTGGGATTCCAACTGTGCCTGGATCCTTCACTCTGGCATTCAGATTCTGATTGCTTTTCAGAACTTCAGCCCTTCTTCTTGGTTTTGGCCATTTCTTGAGCCTTGGCTCTGGCATTTGGACTCCAGCCTCTGGACCCAACTTCTGCTTCACTCACTGTGCCTGACTGCCCATGTCCCAGTCTCCTGACAGTTTGAGCAACCCAAAAGTAAAACAGCTGGCAAAGGATCTGGACCATTTTTTAGTTTGGATCCTTTCCCTGCCAGAGGCAGGGGTTACCTTACAGACCCTGCTGGGCTAGGCCATTGCCCTGCAGGCACAGAATGCTGCTCTGAAGAGGAAGGCAGCACAACCCTGACTCCACCTTCCACTTGGTGTGAGCCAAAGATTCTCCTGTCTGAAACATTTAACAGTGACCAGGGCACAGTTTAGGGTTCGTCAGTCAATGCTGGCTCCCATATCTGCAGTTCTTGCGGTCATTTCCCACTAATTAAGTCAGGTTGCAGCTGATTTTCAGCTTGCTGACTGGTGAAGCTCTAGCATGGCTTTCTCACTCCTGGACCATCTTGAAATCTTAATTCAAGCCCTGGTAGATCTTCAGTGACCCTAATCATGAGTGTACAGCTGAGGCTCCTTTTGGAGCATCGTAGCAGGAACATTGGCTTGTTGCTAAGTGTGCTGTGTGTAGATTGTCAGGGTAATGGATACTGAATGGATCAAGGCTGCACAATATTGTCATTTCAACTTTGGCCTAAATGATGACCTCAAGAAGAGCTGGACAAAGTGGACTCTTCACCCATTCTGGGTGCCTTGATTTACCTCAGCTTAATGACTGACAACTGCTAAATGAAAGGATGTCAAGAAAAAAGATCAGCTTTCTGATTCCTTCCAGCTCTACCATTTCTGGCTCACCAACCTTGGCTCCTTCCCCACAGCCCAAACTCATACCACCTGACCAAATCCAACCCCATCTCTCTGACACAGAGGGAAAAAGCAGTGTTAGGCATTGGGGCATGGCCTATACAGTGGAAGAACAGGACACTTTGTGTTGGGCTGCCCAGCCAAGGTCCCTGGTCACAGATAAGAGAGGTCTGGGATGGGATGGTGCTACCTAGAGTGGGTATTTGGAGATTGATACTGAAAGGCAGAGTCAGTATCTGACACTCTGTTGACTGATCTTCTGGGGTTTAACTAGGCGGGTCTAGTAAGGACCCACTAAAGCAACAGCTGATGGCATCCCCATCAACCACAGAACTCCAAGAGGAATAAGAGAAGCTGACATAGGAGTTCCTTCCATTGACCTCTTGCAGTGGGGATGCCATAGAATTTTGACTTAAGGTACTGTGACGGGACAGACGGCCCAGCCGTGCTGCCCCGCACTAAGGCAGAAGCTGGGCAGTGGGCAGAGTGGACAGAGGGGGTGCCGGGTGGCAGCAGACCGGTGGCGGAGAACCTCGGGGCTATGCCGACCGCGTCCGGGGCTGCCAAGACCGCGGGCTGGTGGCCCAGCCATACGCGGCCTGATGACGTCATAAAGGACATCATCCGGGGATCCCAGAGGGGCGAGGCGGCGTGCGCGGGGGTAGCCGGTGACGCCAAGACACGGTCCTTTCAAAAGGGCCAGGAGCAGGAGTGGACGAGGTGGGGGGGAGCAGCGGAGAGCGAGAGCGTCCTTCCAATCCCCTGAGGAGACAAGCAGCGGTAAGCTTGTCCCTGTGCTGGGGAACCTGAAACACCGACCAGGAAGAAGTGGTCCTGGGTAGGGCCGTGGCCCCCGTGAGTGGAGGGTTTAGGGGTTCCAGCATCCTCCACTGAGTAGGGATGAGTGTCCCTGCCTTAGGGCCCTGGGCCGGGGCTCGGAGAGAGGGAGGGCCCAAGCCCCCTTCCCAGACAATAGAAAGCAAGCGAGTCAGAACACGAAAATATATATAAAAATTGGAAAGACCATTCGGGGAGAACCGTAGACACGGGATGGCACCCCACCCGAACTCGGGGTGGATCTGGGTAAATGGGTGACAGGTACATTGACTCCAGCTACACAATTCCAGGTGCGAGAATCATATATCTTAAAGCAACTTTCTTCCCCAATATAGACCTGGCCTGATTCATTAAGGAAGCCAACAAGCTGGTTCTGGAGCAGCACTAGCTCACAGGCTGCTCAATTGCCATGTCCTCTCTGCTTCCCTGTGCTTGTCTCTTACCAAGCCTTGATCCTGTGCTGCTCCTCCACAGCTCTAGTGCAGATCCTGCCTGCACTGATCCTTGCTTCCCTCTTGTCCCTGGTTTTCTGCTAGTAAGCCATTTCTCACCTTTGGCTCTGCTTCCTGGCTCAGACATTTGGACTCTGACCATTAGCCTGACTTCTACTACAACCTCTAGGCCTGGCCATTTACAGCTCAGGCTCAGGGAAAAGGGAAGGGAGGAGAGAGAAGACTGAGGTTTTATGCTGCCTTTTTCCATGCTAGGCTGTGGGATCCTTAGGGAGGGCAGCAGAGCAGCTCACATTGATTCCTGTGGCCTTTTTAAACTATTAGGTGAAAACCTCACCCAATTAAAATCAATGGCAAAGCTCATATTAACTTCAGTGGGTATAGGAATTCATCTGTTAAGTTTAATTCTAGTCATTAAAAGTCCTCCCCCCCAATTATGTGAACCTGCATTATTATTATTATTTATTTATTTGTTTTTTATTACTGTTTTTATTTATTTACTTTAGGATTCTGAATAAAAAGTATCTATGTCCAAAATTATTTCCTACCGCTTCATTCTGGAATTAACATTATTTTCCAAGTTTTTATAATTAATCTTGATTTTAAGAGTAATGACCAAAGAGTGCAGAAAATCAGAAGTGTAACAACTTCTCTCTAAGTACTGACATCCTGGGAATACTTCCACTAAAATATGATCTCTGTATTAAACCGGCATTGTGTGATTATATTTTTAGAATGCCGCTGCATGCTATATACAGAGGAGATGCATAGCTTCCCTACTAGTTTAGTTTGTATTATCGTTTAATTAGTCAGTCTTGAAGGAGGAGATTTTTATCCATAGAGAAATCTAATTTTACGGTTGTCAATATATCAACAGTAATAAAGAAAAATTATGTTCTAAGCCCCAAGAGAGAAAAAAAATCTAGTTTCTTTTTATTTAACTTCCCTACAGTTGGTACTTTTAAATCTTAAAATGATAACAAAACAACACTAGCTTGAGCTCTCTAGCTATTTAGTACAGGCTATTTGTTGTGGCAAATATTATTCAATTATCAGTCTTTGATTTGAATGTAGGACATAAAAGGCAAAATATATATCTGATCTAAATGGGTATTCCAGAGAACTCATACAAGTTGCACTAGGACTAATTTTGTCCCCACAGTTTCATGAGCAATAATCACCATTTTTGGCATTTACTCACTTTGTTGAAATGTTGGCTTGTTGTCATTAATGTCAGAGAGGTTGATGGTTACAGTTGTTGTGCCTGAAAATCCACCCATTTGCCCAACCATATCTTTGGCTTGGATAATGACAAAATGTTGCTCCTTAGTTTCTCTGTCCATTTGGGAAGAAATTCTAATGACACCTGAAAGATACAGATAGCTAAGCACATTATTTACAATGTCTGACCATATACTGTATTAAGAGTATAAAACAAAGCATCGGTTTCAGTTTTACTAAGAGGTCTCTCAGTTCCTAACATCTGGGGCTCGTCTACATTGGCCCCCTTTCCGGAAGGGGCATGGTAATTTTTGAGATCGTAATAGGGAAATCCGCGGGGGATATAAATATCCCCCGCGGCATTTAAATAAAAAGGTCCGCCGCTTTTTTCCAGCTTTTAGAAAAGCCGGAAAAGAGCGTCTACACTGGCCAGATCCTCCAGAAAAAAGCCCTTTCAAAGTAGGAATAAGAGATCCTCCGGAAAAGGGCTTTTTTCCAGAGGATCTGGCCAGTGTAGACGCTCTTTTTCGGCTTTTCTAAAAGCCGGAAAAAAGCGGCAGACATTTTTATTTAAATCCCCTGCGGATTTCCCTATTACGATCTCAAAAATTACCATGCCCCTTCCGGAAAAGGGGCCAGTGTAGACGTAGCCCTGTAGTCTGAGTTTTTTCTTCAGTTCCTACACCCTTGCTTTGTGCCACCTTCCCATTCCTCCTTATTGCTTCTTTATTTTTCCCTGCACCTGCCATCCCTTCCCTCATGCCAAGGGCTCTATGTGACTCCTTCGCACCATGCCAGAGTCTCCTATGTCAGGGCTCTATATGCAACCCTATTCCTCCATGTTAAGGATTTATGTGCCCCCCTCTTTTGAATATCACTCATTCTCTACCCATGCCATTTTAAATTATAATGGGAGGTTAGACAGAAATGGGATGGGGTTATGCTCAAAGGTGTTAACTGGCGCCATCAATCTGTGGTTTAATCATTATATAATAGCAGAGATGCTTGACGCTGGGTCTCTGCTAAAGAGAGGAAAGGTGGGAGGAACAAATGTACTCCCATGCTCCCCCAAAACAATGAGTTCCCGATTATTGGTTCCTAGAATATTCCCTGAAGTTTTGAAATTAATCAGATGCTGTGCTGAAAAATTGTTATATTACATACATATAGATAAACAGACAAATCAGACAAATATGTGTCCATAGCCAATAACATACACACTAATTAGTTCAGAGCATATGTAGCATTGTGTTCAGAGTTAGGAGTTCTTGTTTTATATGTTCCTGAGTATCCCGCAATCTCTTTTTCCCCTTTAGTAAGTCATTTATCTTTCTGTGCTTCAGCTTACTCATGCCAGAAATAATAATAATAATAATAATAATCTACCTACTTCAAAAAGGTATTAAGACATAAACAATGTTGGTTAAATTTTATTTGAGGTGGTAAGCATAAAACAATGTAGACTTATTATAAGTCCTGATATTTAAGGTTTTCATCGTTAGCATTATTGAACCAATTTTATATGTGTCTTAAATATAGGGATGTATCTGAAATGTCTCGCAGGCTGAGAATTTCTTAGATTTATGTGAAATGCATTCCATTTTATTTAATGAAGTGACTATGGGTACCATCCAAAAACAACTGAGATAAATGTGACTCATTACATTGAATTAAATGGTCTCTAAATCAGCCCTTAAGGCCTTGATCTTGCACTAATCAAATCAATAGGGGTTTTTCCATTGACTTGTGCAGGAGCAGGATCAAGCCCTAAATTAAGAGACATTAGGATACTACACTTGTGGGAGCTATCACAGACTAGAGTGGTTGGTAGATTGATCTGAGGAAATTATATTTGTGCTGCCCTGAGCTAATATGATTACGATCTATTGTATTTTTTATCGGACATTCAGATATTTTAGGAGAGTTCATGAATGAAGTTTGGGTTATAGGAAAATCTAGCAATACCTGTCTTTGGCTCCACAGAGAAGTAAGGCTGTCCTTGTAAAATACTGTATAGCAGACGGGCACTATTGCCATAAGAAGGATCATCTCCATCTGTAGCTGTTACCTGTATCACTGAAGTACCTTAAAAGAAGTGAAATCAGATGTAGATCTATAGACATAGTTATAGTTGTATTTGTTTAAAATGAAATGACTGTTTGATATCTAAATAAAACCATTCTCTCTTGGCATATCTACAGCTTTTTACAGTATCAGATCCTTCTCCTCTCCAATACATCTGTTAGTCTATAAGGTGCCACAGGACTCCTTGTAGCTTTCTCCTCTCATCTTTTTCTGCATCTTTCTTTTACCTGCTTAATTGAATAAAAATATATATAGCTTTGAACCAGTATCTCTTCTTCTCTCATCTTTTTCTACATCTTTCTTTTATCCATTTCACTGAATATAAATCAATTCATACTCTATGGAAACAACCCTGGATACTTCAGTCCTAGCAAACTACCACCCAGTGGCCATCTAAATGCTAATATTCTAATCCTTGTATAATCTGGATTCAGGCCAGGAGAAGGAATAGAATCTGCCTTAATGGCACTGAGGGATGATCTCCTACTATCCCTGGATAGAAGACAGGCATCCATTCTCATCTTCTTGGACATTTCTGCAGCATTCAACACTGTTGATCACAAGATTCTGCTTTATTATGAGAGAGCTGGCAGGGGTTCAAGGTAACGGATTTATATGATTTGAGTTGTTCCTGGAGGAATGCACCTAATGAGTAATGATGGTTACTGCACCTCTACCACTGGTCCTTTTACTTGTGCAGTGACACAAAGATCAGTCTTTTCTCTGGTTATTACACGTTGAGTGTGTAATAACCACTCAGTGTGTATAAATCACTGTGTGACCTGTTGAGATCAAAATGTAAATGCCAGCAATATGCTGCTGATACACAGTTGTACCTAACCTTCAACATATATGACCATATTACAACCAACACCAAAAAGGCCTCGTGCTTGGATGAGATCAGCTTTTTGATGAAGAAAATTGGCTGAAGCTATGGCTGATCAAGACAGTAGTGATGCTGGTAGGCAGAGGACAGAACTTTGAAGAGTTTGCAACCACAGCACATGCACAATTGGTCAGTTCAGTCTGTAGTCAGTTCAGTCTATGGAGGAGTATCCTTACATTCGTTTTTGAGGCTGAGCTCTCACATATTAGCATCTACACAGAAGACTTTCTACTCCATCAGGAAGTAAGGACCATTAAATACCTCATAATATTTTTGTTTCAAGTGTAAGGCTCTTGTCTTTGACTTTTGCATATATGTACATAAACATGTAGTCCCATCCACTCCTATGATTCTGAAAGTGGCCCCCTCTCTCAAATCATACATTAGAAAAATTGAGGACAATATACAATATTTGCCAACACAGAGATAAAAATCCCACTGTAAAGTCATAATTAATCTTTTGTTTTAATATAAATTGAAAAGGAGAATAGAACCTGTACAGAGGCTGAAAAAGAGAAGACATATTAAGCCTTCTATTGTGGCCTATTTTTGGAATATACACTATTCCATTCTCTTTCTCTGCACAAGCTGAGGACATAAAATGGTTAGAAGTAAAGTATAGTGTATTACCTCAAGAGGACATCAATCTAGTTCCCTGCAATCATGACAGGACTAAATACTCTCAAGACCATTACTGACAGGTGTTTTCCTAACCTGCTCTGATATATCTCCAATGATGGAGATTCCACAACCTTCCTTATCATTTTATTCCAGTGCTTAACCATCCTGACAATTAGGAAGTTTTCCTAATGTCCACCCTAAACCTCCCTTATTACAATTTTTAAGCTCATTGCTTCCTGTCTTATCTTCAGAGGTTAAGAACATTTTTCTCCTTCCTCATTGTAATAACCATTTATGTACTTGAAAACTCTTCTCATGCCTCCTCTCAGTTTTCTCTTCTCCAGACTAAACAAACTCTCTTTAAAAAAATCTTCTCCCATAGATCATGTTTCTTAGACCGTTAATCATTTTTGTTGATCTACTCTGGACTTTCTCCAATTTATCCACATCTTTCTGAAATGTGGTACCCAGAACTGCACACAATCTCCAGGTGAGGCCTAATCAGCAAGGGATAGATAATTTGGGGTGTGTCTACACAGCAGGGCTTAACTCAAAATAAGCTATGCAAATTCAGCTATGTCAATTGCATTATTTTGAAAGAGGGAGTATCTACACAGCACTTATTTCAAAACAGAGCACTTTTCCTCCAACTTCCCTTACTCCTCGTCCAATGAGAGTTACAGGAGTTAGAGTAAGAAGTCCTCCACCTTGACATTATTTCACCATTATTTTGAAATAGCTGCCTGCTGTGGAGATATGAACTAAATTATTTTGAAATAACACTAGTTATTTCCAAGTAATGTTTCTGTGTAGACATAGCCTCTTCTGTTCATCCCTCTGGGGCACCTGATACTGACCATTGTCATTAGGATACTGGATTATATGGACCTTTGATCTGACCCAGTATGACTGTTCTTATGTTAACAGTTTTTCAACCAGTTATGCACCCAAATTATAGCAGCTCCAGATAGTGAAATTCAAACTATGTATGTAGATATGCTGCTTAATAAACTACTGGAAGATGGTCAGGTACTTTGGTGATGAGTGTGGTATAATAACCCATATAAATTAGGAGAGAATAATACCCTATGCCCTATTTCTAACCATTTCATGTACCCAACTAGTGCACCGAGAGAATGATATAGTTTACATTCCCAAAATAGGCCATAATAGCAGTCTTAATATGTCTTCTCTTTTTCAGCCTCTTTTTCAGGTTCTATTCTCCTTTTCAGTTTATATTAAAACAAAAGATTAATTGTTACTTTCCAGGGGATTGTTATGTCTGTGCTGGCAAATATTGTATATTGTCCTCAGTTTTTCTAATTTATTATATGAGAATGGGCCACTTTCAGAATTATTTTCCTTTGGAAGTTTTAAATTGTTTTATTAAAATGCTCTATATAACAAAAGAAAAGAAAACAAAGCAAAACAAAAGACGAATAGTGTGTGAACCTTTAATTTAAAACCTACACAGAGGCTGACAGAAATAAACTGTTAACAAGCAAAGCAGCCAGGAAAGAGAATAAGACTCTGATAACATTTTATATCCTTGAGGCCTTTAATGAGCCTTTTCTACTGCAAAAGAGATAGCAAAATCAATCTGCAGAACACTATTTCATCTGTAGTTGGGAATCAGTCATGTCCTAGATCCAAAATTGACAACATCCCCATGGGCCATCCATGAGGTTATCCTTACAAAAAATATTCCTCTGCATTATCATTTTATAAAATAATGATTATGTTTATCTTGTTTCTTAACTGACTTCTGCATAAAAATACCCCTCTTGAGGAAAAAACAAGACCTAGAGCCATTTTCCATGGCTTTCTGACATATGATCACAGTATCACATCTTATCATAAGACAGTCTCTCCTGTTGCATGTTTTTCTCTGATAATTAAGTCAGCAACACCTGGAGGGTTTGGGGTCACTAGTAAAAAATGCAGAATCTTCTCAAAATATTTTGCTCCAAGAGGAGGCCTGTCTCTGGATACTGACATACTCTTTTAGAAGCATCTCAGACTAAAGGCTGTGTGTAACTTAGCAAGTCTGGAGTGAAGTGCTGTTCTTGTCCTATTGACTTTATGAGGAGCTCTGTGTTCAAAATGTGCCTATAATATCAATTTTGGTAGTGAAACTAATGGGGGAAATGGAGAGGAGCGAGAACCCCCACTGGTGGCCTTTAGATGTATATGTGGCATTTTTTCTAGAATATTCTGCAAGGGCCAATCTACCTATTGGCAAATGAGGCAGATGCTTAGGACAGCACATTTTAGGGCCTCTTAGGGGCAGAAATGGGATCAGTGGCTGTGATGATGGGGGGGTATGAAGCTGGTGGGGCTGCCCAGTGCAGGTTTTGGCTGGGGCTCTAAGGAGACAAAATGGTCTCTCTGCTGGGCTGGTGGAAAGGTGCTCCGACCCCCTTTCCAGTGCTCCAATGGGCAATAAGCATCCACCAAATAGGCTCCACCTGCTGAGGAAGCACTCTCACTCCTTCCTCAGTCAGTTCCTCCCCCCCCACACACCCCCCCACAGCAAATAAGATTATGGCACCAGGTAAGTCATACAAGGAACAGCTCTGAGCTGTTCAGCACCTGGATCTGAGGTTGGGATTCTGGTTATATGTGCAGTCACCCATTATACTCTGTGTTGGTGTAGAACTTTACCTGTGGCTGTGTACTCACTCTTGGTGCCCCAGCTGCTGTGGCCACCACCCTGGGCTCATGCTAAAGCTGCTGGGTGGACAGGCAAGGGAAGGAACCGGGTGTGTGGATTGTGGGAGGACAGGCAGAGGGCCCCATTCTGGATAACTGAGGGTATGTCTACACTACCCTCCTAATTCGAACTAGGAGGGTAATGTAGGCATACCGCACTTGCAAATGAAGCCCGGGATTTGAATTTCCCGGGCTTCATTTGCATAAGCGGGGAGCCGCCATTTTTAAATCCCGGCT